GGCTTTAAAAAACCTGCAAATTAAGAGAAGCGCTAAGAGCTGGGTAAGCTGTTATATACCTACAATTCTAGCATTCAGAGTTGAAGGCGGGAAAATTACAAGTCAATTGAAATGAGCCAGCCGCTCTCCTTTCTCCAAATCATAGATCCAATGTACAAAAACAAATAAAAACCCAGAGAACTTTAATCCCAGTTGTGCTACAACGGTTACATGAGTTGACTACAGTTAAAATAATATACTAAGTTCAACCTACAAATCTAAACTGGATAAATAAAACTGCAAAGAGATTCACTTGTCAAAATTACTCCTCTAAGATGAATTTTATCTTTCCTTTGTATCTTATAGTTTTATTGAGACAGGATTTTTTTTCCTGAGGCAGGACTTTTCTATGTAGCCCTGGCTGTCCTGGACCTCCCTCTGTGAACCAGGCTGGCCTCAAACTCCGAGATTCACCTGCCTCTGCTTCCCTAGTGGTGGGATCTAAGGCACGCTCACCACTGTCCAGCTCAGGATTTTATTTTTATGACCTTCAAGCCACTGTGGAGTTTAGGATTACCTCAAATGACTTCTGATTCTCCTACCCTCATCTTCTGAGTGCTAGGATCACCAGTGTCAACAACAGGGCTCATACCCTTGCCCTCCACTGCTCTACTGGCAAGGTCACAGCCTTGATGTGGCCTCTGGGCCACTCTAGTACCAACTAGAGGGCTGGAGGAGACTGGGGATCTGGGAATTCAGATTAAGTCCTAAGAAACAATCCATGTGAGCTGTGTGGTGATGGTGCACACTTTTAATCCCAGCATTTAAGAGGCAGAGAGAGGCAGGAGGAGTTTGGTGAGTTCAAGGCCAGCCTGGTCTACAGAGCTAATTCCAGGACAGCCAGTGCTACACAAAGAAACCCTGTACCAAAAACAGCAAGTGCGGGAGGTAGAGCAGTGAAGAGGGGGAGGGGAAGGGATAGAAGAGACCACCCACACCTTCTGACAGGGGCAGAGAGATCCAGGGATTTATGCACACCCCATTTCCACTCTTAAGGTTTACAACTTAAATGTCTTCCCCAAACATCCATGCACTAAAGACACTGCCTGAAAGTGGTGGCCTCTTTAAGAGGTGGAGCTTAGAGGAAGGAAGTTAAATCATTGGGAATGTGCCCCTAGAGGAGATAGCTGAACCTTTACCTCTTCCTCTACTTCATTATTTGCTCCCAGGCTGTAGTAAGGTAAGTTGCTATGATGTACAACTCCAGACCCACAGAGGTGTGGCCCAGAAATCATGGATTGAAAATTCTGAAACTATAAACCAAAACAAACTGTTCCTCTTGAATTTGATTGTCTCCATTAAACTGATTGTCACAGGTCTTTTGTTACAGTCACACCAACTAACCCTTCACACTTATGGGTAGCGTTGCAATTGAGGGGCTTGTCATAAACACTCACTGCTAGTACTTTGTACCTGCTTACTACAAGGCAGCGATGATGGGAGATCACTTGTGTGTCACTCCAGGCTTGTGAGGTAACACTCACCATTGCTCATCTGAAGACCCAGGCTAACCCAACTCTATTGTTTGACCGCCTAAAATAGGCTTAGAAAGACATAACATACCTTAACTGACTCTCCTATATACACACCACTATCATTGTCCCCAGGAGCCCAAACTTGGTTTCCTTTGTCTTATCATTTTATCACAATATACAGCCCTCTGCTGAGATGGCTGTAAGCTCCAACGCCTAAGCATTTCTTTGGGTTTTTACTTCTTTTATGTGACTCTTTTGTATAGATGAAAAGTAAATTTCCTTTCCAATTAATCTGTCTTTTGTCAACTCAATTTGTAAATGCCAGTCGTTGAAGATGAGAAGGGAAGGTTTTCTCCTACATAACACAGATTACATGATAACATGTAGAAAAACTGGGACACAGCTCAGTTGGTAGAGTGTTTGGCTAGTGTGCACAGGCCTCAGGGTTTGATCCCCAGCATTGTATAAATGGTATGTGGTGGGTCGCATGTATACAATTCCAGCATGGGGTAGGCTCTGGGACAAAGACTCAGGAATTTCAGTTCCAAAGTGTTTTCACATTAAAATGTTTGGACCTTTGGTCACTATTGGGAAGAAAAACTAGAATTAATCTGGGAAACACATCCCCTGTTGTTGGTAGGGTGCTGTAGAAATGCCTTGATTTGGGGTCTTTAGCTCCTCAGTGATAAAATTTACAAAGATTAGATGCCTAGTCATCCAACAGGTCATAGATTCAGAGTTGGAGAATTAACTTTGCTTTCCCACTGTGAGGGTTAGGGAGAGCTTGGATAGTTAGCCAAACCAATTAAATAAATAAATAAATAAATGTCATCTAGGTATGGTTTAGGCTGGAGGGCAATTTCCATCTAAGTGCCCCTCTGTAATTTCTAACCTTCTACAATCTGCAGGTATTATATTTAGTCTAAAGTAGACTAAAGTATGAAGAATAAAATAGTTGACATCAATGTAGCCTACACCCAGACCAGGAAAAAGAACATTAGCGAGAACCTTGAGGCTTCTCTCACTCCTTCTTAAGACACTCCCTCCCCCTAGAAGGAACAACTGAATTTCATGTTTATTGTTCCCACTAGACGAAACAATATTCATACTTGAAAGATAAGGGGCAACTTATTCTTAGAAAATCGATTTTGGATTCAAGTAGTTATTATCAGATGTTTAGATTTCATGGATCAGTAACATCCGAAATAGATTTGGAGACACAAGAAATACAATCCGAACCCCAAATGACCCTATCACAATAGCTTCTCCATAGAAAAGACATTCAACAGAGTAAGCACAGGAACAGCAGATTCTGAGTTCTGAGTGCAAAGCCTTTCTCTAGCTTCTTTTGTTTTGTTTATTTTCAAAGAGTCGAAAAAACCAAAAAAGAAAAAAGAAAAAAAAAAAAAAGAGTCTCCTGTAGCCCGAGCAGCCTCAACCTCACTATGGAGCCAGTGGTTGACTAATCCTCCTGCATCTACTAAGAATCAAAACCAGTGCTTCCTACATACTGCACAAATGGGCTTTCCTGACAGGTACATCTGCAGCCTATTTTTGTCTATTTATATTTATTTTCATCTTGTCGGAGTAATCCGCAGCACTTTAGACACTCAGCCTGTGGCTGTCTCTGCCCCATCTCCCCGCCTTATGGCCTCATCCTTCCCCAGAGCTTCTGCTCCTACTGCTTCTCTCGTGGGTAGCCTGGAGTCAGTGGCGGCTTGCGAACCTCGCCACCCACAGGGCACCACTGAGCTCCAGCCCCAGGCCTTTCCCTCCGTTCCCGCCAGGCCTCCACCCAGCAGGCTAAAAGGAATCCAAAGCTGCAAGATACCTAATGACAGAGTGGTGAGGGGAAAGGCAGCAAAGTGTAAGAACCATAGAAACTGGAGTAAGCCCACTGGGAAGACATGGACATTAGCTCTCAGAAGCAACAGACTTCCCTTAGTGACCTTGACCAGTTCCTCACTCCTCTGAGCTCTGTGCTCAAGTATCGACTCGAGAAGACAGGCTCTGCCACTCACCTCCACAGGTGTGTACTCTCCATAGATGCATACCCACCACAGATGTACCCACAGCAGGTGTGCCAGAATGCGGGGGTGGAGCGACTGGCTGAGCTGAAGGATTTTGCAACAGCTCCTCAGAGAAAATGGCACTGTCTCCCCCCCTTCCCCCACTGACTTGGTTCAGCTAGGACAAGGTAAGAGCAACATAAAAGATGATTTGAGCTTAAATTTCACTAGACAAAGGAAGGAAAGAAGGAAGGAAGGAAGGAAGGAAGGAAGGAAGGAAGGGAGGAAGAAAGGAAGGGAGGAAGAAAGGAAGAAAGGAAGGGAGGAAGAAAGGAAGAAAGGAAGGGAGGAAGAAAGGAAGGGAGGAAGAAAGGAAGAAAGGAAGGGAGGAAGAAAGGAAGGAAGGAAGGGAGGAAGAAAGGAAGGAAAACCCCCTTTCACTGAGGAGGAAGCAGAAGCCCCGCTTATTAAACAACAAGCAAGACTTTTAGTGTAATGTTCCAAACTAGGCAGCCGTATCCCCACCCACGTTCACACAGTGACCTCGTTTGTCTCTGATGTGGATGGGAGAGCCCTTACAGCCCTCAGTTTTCTCCTCCTTCTGTCTGGGATGAATTCCTCAAGCTGAATCCTGAAAAGGATCATCAGAGCCTCACAAACAAGGCCAAGAGGGAGTCACAGTCTGGGCCAGTAGAGTTCCATCCTGTGGAAACATGGGTGCCCTACTACCAGCTTTGGAAACCCCTCCTTGCTGTTTCTGCCTTTGGCAAGTAACCGTCAACACCTCCCCTTCCAGTACCATTTCCCACACGTTGTCCATCATGTATGTGCCCTGATCACATCTCATCCGGCTGGCTACCTGACTGTAGTTTTTGTAAAGTGGATCCCATTACTAAGGCCCCATCTTTTAAAAATATCTATAGGATAATGTATTTCAGATACGAAATGCATGCACACATAAAATCACATGCATATATACCGAGACACATGCATACATCTACATGTACACTTATATACACACATACAGGCACACATGTATAAACCCATGTGGACATACACAGATAATGTAGACACATACATATATGATATACATAGACAGGCTTATTTGGAAAGACATACACATGCACAGAGACACAAATATAAAGACAATGCTCACAGCCCTTTTACTCAAGGTTAATGGACAACAGGCTGTGTGAGAAGGGGAGTGTCTTTCCTTGGTTGGTTCTTCCAATCCTAGGCCAGGCACTGGTACCCAGCAGCTCAGGCAGGCCTTAAAAACTCAAAACATCTGCTTCCTCCTCCCTCCCCCCCATGCAACTACTCATATTTCCTCCTCCTTGGGAACTAGGGAAGGCAAGACTCAGACCAAAGGGCCTCTCAGATCTCACACCAGTTCTATGAAAGGGAGTCCCACTCCCAAGAATGTATTTTTGGAAGCCCTTAGGAATTCCCTTTTAAATCAAACACCAAGCACACAGAATTTGCATTCCTTTTATTTAAACCATTATGAGAGCCCTGAGAGGTAGGAAACACCCGATCCACAACAGGAGGAAGAGGGACCAGCCCAAAGGAGAACATCCTTTGCCCAGAGTCTCAGCAGACAGAGAGGGGACCAGTGAGCAGCCTCGGATGGCACGGCATCCAGGACCAGTAAAGTCTTTCTCATTCATGAGGTAGTTTCCCATACACCAATACAGAAGCGGAGCCCAGAAAGAAGGCGCAGTGCCTGTTGGGCCTGAGTGAGGCAGATAGAGATCGGGTGGGGTCTGCACGCTGGCAGCCTCACTTCTCACTGAGGATGCGCACAAACTCCTCATAGTTCACCTTCCCATCCTGGTCCACATCAGCCTCACGGATCATGGCATCCAGCTCCTCCTGTGAAATCGTCTCTCCCAGCTGAGCCATGGCCTGCTTGAGCTCCTCCACAGTGATGTGCCCATCACCATTCTGGTCAAAGACACTGAACACGGCCCGCATCTCCTGCTCGGTGCTCCCTCTCTTGTACTTGGCCATTGCCTCCAGGAATTCGTTAAAGCTGATGGTGCCATCGTTGTCTGTGTCCACTCTGGAGATGAGCGCCTTCAGTTCTTCCTCTGAGAGGTTCTTGCCCAACTGCTTCATCACGTCACCAAGTTCATCGACACTGATGTGGCCGTCCTTGTTCTTGTCAAACCTATCAAAAGCTGCATGGAACTCATCCACCTGCTCCTTACTAAACCCGTGAGACATGGCTGTGTTCTCTGTCCCTCACAGAGCTTCTGAGCTTGCTGTCAACCGGATGTCAGTCTGTAGCTCCTGAGGTTTGTGGTCCAGCGTTCGGGGCTGCTGCTGGGATCTGAAGCCCTGTCTGTTGGAGGGCTGAGCTATACGTAGCCTTGCCCTTGCATGGGAATCCCCTCCTTTTCTGCAATTGGAGCAAAGGGAGGAGGCTCCCCACCCTCCACCTGCCCTCAGGCAAGATGCTCCTCCCAGGGAGGGACAAACCAGCTGCAGACAAGGAATGAAGTAATTGGGATAGATGGGAAGGTCCATGGGTAAACTGATGGGAAGTGTCATGGGGCAATGGGACAGAGACTACCAGGCTCTTCTGGCCCTAATGGCAGACCACCCCACTGCATGGACATCTGCCTAGGACACACTTCCCCTATGACTGATTTTCTTACATGCTTTCAGCAAGTTGGTGGTTTCAAAAGTAATTCCCCAACCTCACAGAGACTCACTGGAGAGAGGCACGGGTGTTGAAGAAGCTGCCTTGGGGACACAGCAGTCCTTAGGGGGATTCAGATTAGGATTTCTCCTCTCAAGCTTGTCCTAAGGGTGAGGTTGATGGAAAGGGGGAGGTAGAGGCACCAAGGCTTCCTGGATTTAGCCATGGCTTTCATTCTACTCAGAGTCCAGCGCAAGAAGAGAGGAGGGACTGTTTGTCTTTAGCACCCAGAAAGAAAGGATCTGGGTTTCATTCTGCTGCGGAAGGATCATTTATAAAAATCAAGCAATATGAAGTGTGATTTTAAAGGTGAGAGGAAAGGCATTTTGTGCCCCCCCCCTAGTGAGTCCTACAATTCCACATCCAAGTCCAGTGGTTTCCAGACTGTTTCCATTAGAGATGAGTTCATTCCGTGCACAGGGCAGGAAACAACTGAGATTGGAGAATCTTGGCCTGGGTGCTGCTTGGGCACTGGAAGGTAATGTGTGGCCAGTAAAGTTCAGACAAGGACAGGACAAATGTGATAGGAACTTGACCCCCTGGGGATTTTCTGTGTCATCAACTTTAAGCACTAGTCCACTTGGGATACCCCTACCCATGGCCTTCCTCCTGTGGTCTGCCTTCTGGAAGGAAACTCATGCCTACACAATTTGGAACAGTAGGATTTAGACCAAGACCACAACACTATGGGGTAATCCCTAAGATTTTTCAATGGTGCCTGAATGTGGAAGTAGACTTTTGGCATGGAGAGACCAAGATGAATTTCAAGGAAGCCATTTTTTGATCTCTAAAGGTTCCAGTCCTCTCTTCCACCCTTGCCTGAACCATAGGAACAAATTTATTTCGTTCTCTTCCTGGTTCAACCAGATAAATAGACAGAGGATTCTCTTCTTCTCTGAAGAGAAGCCAGACCAACACCCAGATCCCCTGGCACTCCACCCCGACTCCCATTCTATGTCCAGGGAGCCTCAGATGGAGAGAGGGGGGAAAAGAGAAAGAAAGACTCCAGTTAGATAATTTATTTCCCAAAAACCTCTTGAAGAAGGATTGCTGTCTCATCTTTGTGCTGGAAAAATACAGCAGCCTCAATAAATATTAAGCAACCAATTTCTCAATGAAGTGACAACCAGTTCTGGGTGGAGAATGCCATTCCAACCTGGACAGCAGAGTAAGGAAGCATCCTGCTTGGTGAGAGACACAGGAAAGGTGGAGTTTTTAATAACAAGCTTCAATCCAGCTCCTTTGTTTATTTTTTAAAGAATATTTGAAGATATCCATCTATATTCGAAATGCGTTTTTCTTCTCATCTTCTTAGTAGAGCCTGTGATTAAAACAAATACTTAATAATCATTGTGTTATTATGCTCCTTTGGTTAAGTCATACTTTGCATTCAGTGTTAGGAGATTTTCTGTTCTGGTTCTGGATTCATTGCTGATCTGGTCAAATATGCCCCAATGTTTTTATCTACAAGCAAAGATGATGCATCTACTGTATCTACGGAAAGTAATTAAGGCCCGAGTAAAAAGTTCAGACTAACAGGAGATATTTCTACTCTATGATAAAACTCACATTCAAGGAAAAGCTGATTTACCTTTGCTGGAAGCCTCAAACAATATCTACATGAATGGGTACTCTGTTCATTAGCATACCTTTCTTGTTTGAACAGCAACAAAAATACCAGAAATCACATCTACTTTGAGGTTGTACATAAATCAAACAGGTCAAGTCTCTGAATGTTAGCAGATTTTGAACATCAACCAATGCTTTGTTTACTTTTGGAGTTTATTGTTCTTTTTTTGTTTGGTTTTTCAAGACAGGCTTTCTCTGTGTAGCCCTGGCTGTCCTGGAACTTGCTTTGTAGACCAGGCTGGCTTCAAACTCAGAGATCTGCCTGCCTCTGCTTCCCTAGTGTTGAGATTAAAGGCATGAACCACTACCACCTAGCTAATCAATGCCATTTCATGTAAAATGGAAACTCTATTTAGAAAGGAATCTATGAAGCTGGGAAGATGGTTCTATTGTCAAAGTGTTTGCCATGAAAGCACAGGACCCCTGTAAAAAGCCAGGTACGTGTTTGTAGTCCCATCACTGGAGTGGTAGAGTTAAGAGGATCACTAGGGCTTGCTGAACAGCTTGTGTTGCCAAATCCATGATCACCAGGTTCATCAAGAGACCCTGCCTTGAACAATAAGACAATAGAGGAAGCAACAGAGTGATAGAGGAAGACAGAAAGACACCTGCCACAACCCCTGAACTTCACATGAATGACCACACACGTGCACACACAAACAACATACACAGAAAGCAGTGGTCGGGGTAGGAGGAAGGAAGGAATCTAGCTGGGCTGAGGATAAAGTTCAGTGGAAGATAAAGCTAGTTTGCATAAGGCCCTGACTCCCATCCCCAGTACCACCAAAAGAAAATAAATAATAATAATAATAAAACCCTAGTAGAGTGATGCCATAGCACAGAAAAGGCAATCACTATGTGATGCCCATATCCCATATCCCATATTCGAGATGAAGAAATGGGTCTTTAGAAGGGAAGACCTATGACTCCTTGGGAGTCATGGGAAAGGCTTCTCCCTCCTCTTTCTACCACGTGGGCTCTGCTTCCTCTCAGAGGCTATGCTTCACCATGTAAAAATGATTTCTTTACTCCTTCCCACCTAGTCTCCTGCCTTAGTATATGAGCTGTCAACTACACGACCTAACTTCCAAGTTAAGACATCAGTGACAGTCATGCCACAAGAACCTCATAGAGTCAAACTAGGGATTGGGAAAGGGAACAATGTGTCATTTGCTGCCCAAACCCACTTCAATCAAGGTCCTGCTTCATTAGCTGGTTTAATATGCCAACCTGGCTCTGTGGTGGGATTTTTGTAGGAAGAAGCCGTGGAGACTAGGAGGACCATGGTTTCATGATTGCCTGTAGCTAAGACACCTGCACCTCACATGAGGCTCTTGTATAATAGAAACAATGGAAATTGTTCGTTCATGAGTAGCCGAAGGCTTCAGGGCTTGCTTCTTGTCGCACAGATGGGGGAAGGAAACTCAGGCAAACCATCAAGGGAAGAGAGGATAGCACCAGATTTATTCCAGGTATGGTGGCTGACCCTGGAGCTGGCGAGTGACACTGGTGGCTGGTCCTCATGAGCCACACAGCCATGTGTTAAGGGGGAGAGGACTGAAACTGAGAGAGTGAGACTCACTGATAAGGAGCATCTGGAGCCGAGTGAGGCAGGAGGAAGACTGTGGTTAGCTGAGGGAAAGACCAGAGCAGGTGCACAGGCAGACTTGAGCCTTGGGCTGGGTGTTTTGGAGGTGGACTCTGGCCCAGGGTGTGTCCTCTCTCATGTCCCCTCAGCTCACATCCTCAAGAACATGTAGACCCTCCCAAGTGAGAATGACGATGGCCCTGGATAAGTAGTGAGTCTTCAGTAAGGCTGACTGAAGACCTCTGCAGGTGGCAGAGGAGAGATGAAAACCTCCCCAGAGTTGCTGGGCCAGGCCCTGAGGGCAGGGAGGGAGAGTAAGCAACCATGGGACAATCCTGTGCAGAGACTGTGTGTGCATGTAAGTGTACCTGTGCACAGGCAATGTGTTCCTGTGTATAGATGCACCGACTGCTAGTATGTACATGTGTTCATTTATATGTGCGTCTGCATCTGTATGTACATATGTGTAGTTATGCATCCGGGTTAGTTTTCTTTGGGGGTTTGTTTTGTTTTGTTGTCAACTTGATGCTAGCTGGAATTTTCTTGGAAGAGGAACTGAGTTGAGCCCGCAGGCAAATCTGTGGGGGACCTTTTCTTAATTAATGCCTAATGTCAGGGGTCCCAGCACACTGGGGGCAGTGCCACCCCTAGGCAGGTGGCCCTGGGAGGTGTAAGAATGCAAACTGAGCAAGTCACTGGGAGCAAGTCAGTAAGTAGCTTTCATCTACGGTCTCTGCGTCAGCTCCTGCCTTCAGTACCACCCTGACTTCCCTCCAAGACGGACTAGAAATTGCAAGCTGAAATAAATCTCTTCCTCCCCAAGTTGCTTTGGGTCACAGTCTTTATCATAGCAAGAGAAAGCAAACCAGAACAGAACAGTATGCATACAATGTATTCACGTATGTGCCCTGTACACATACATGTGTGCATACTTACAAGTGCATGTATGAGTTTGTATTTGTATGTCTGGTATGTGTCCAGGTGTTGGGAGGAGGTGTGTGAATAGCTGTATTCCATCTCAGGTGTTCAGGACTAATGGTTAAAGTTGATTCCTGAATGCACAGGGTTTTATTCTAGAAGCAGATACACAAAATACCCAGACCTTCCATGATCATTCAGTTTCTGTGTATGAACCACTCCAGAGAAACCAGTCTAACAGGTTGGAAACACAGACTATAGCAGAGTCTCCTCTGTGTCCTGGGACTTGCAGGAACCTGATTTCACCCCCCTCACACCTGAGCCTCCATGGTGTGGGCACAACAGGCTCTCCCCCAGGGAACTAAGGAGTCTGGGTGGAGTCGCCTCGTCTCTCTGGGATGTGATCTATGGGAGAGGCCTGGACACAGCTTCCACAGTTCAATCACCATCACTTAAGTACCAGTTTCACAGATATTAAGGATGGTACTTCCTGCCTCGCACCTAGTATCTGCCACAGTGCTGCTATGTATGCGTTGAATGGATTGGA